TTTTTCGCGACGTATACACAAATGATCTTTGTAAATGCGGTCTCTAAAGAAAAATAATTTCACGGAGACCAGACGAATTGCACGTTGGCTTTAAAATTGCGAAGGATTTGTTGAAAAAACTCCTCTAAATACTCGTGTCAAATGCAACCCGCATCACTCAGTGCTATATCGTTAAATAACTTTTAAACTAAGGGTTTCTAGGGCCTTAAAAACTAAACTTTTTGGAATAAAGGCCCCAAAGAAACGTTCATTACATCGTAATCTACAGGATGAGATATTGCTGAACATTCTATTGAATTATTCCTCTTACTTATCGATACAACCAACACCACCTTAAGTTCCACCCTTTGTGATGTTGTCTTCTGGTCATACTTAGAAAACTTAGATTCCTCTATCTTATACTATTTACGCTTTCTGTGTACACTTTTGTGCAGTTTTTGTGTTCTTGTACCAGTATATTGGTTATCAGCAGTGATTCAGTGAAACTTTCAAGTTAGCGTATTCAGTCACGTAGCTTTCTCAAGAGTAAAAAGCTTTTTTTAATATTTTTGTGACTATCACGAAATGCTAACTGCCAACGAATATTGAATAATTACTTCAAATACTTTTAAGGAAGTGTTGTGAATTGGAACTATCTCTCGATAATACTGAATTAACCTTTATTGAAAATTTGTTTCCAACATGAACTGCATTGTTTTTATTTTTGTTCGATATTCTCTAAGTTCGAAGTTACATTTATATATTTTTTAACAAACAAACACGTTTCATTAACAACTTTCCTTCACCATGGAAAGGATAGGGAAATGGATAATGAAAGTGTGGAGATTAACATGCGAGAGTTTCGCACGGGTACGCTAGTTCGTAATTCAATGAATTTCCGTAAGAAAAAAAAAATGGATGAACAGAGTGTAAATGCAGTTTTAATGTAGGAGGTAAGTACGTTTTATTATTTTTCTTTGATGTTTGTATTTTTTTCTAACTTTAATTTCTCGCTACTGCTTAAGCAGTATAGAAAAAGAATTGTAAAGCTGACAAAACAGAAAATAGTCGACACGACTCTCGACTTTCGTCCGTGGTATCGAAAACGTGGATATCTCTTGCCACTATATATAGTAAATTATTTCCTCTCTGAGAGGAGGTTTACTGCAAGAAGTGCAATACAGCTTTAGAAACCATGAATCTCATCCTCGGTTAGTGCATTTTTACGAAGCCAGCAAGAATAAAGCGTCATGACGAGATCAAAAAATTCATATAAAGGAGGTTGCTCCGGAAATTGGACACGGTGGTGTCCACAGAAGCCACTTTCTCCGTTATCTGACCTGCTTATAAAAAACCGGGAAGGGGTCCGGGATGTGACTGTAACAAGGATGGGCTAGCCTGCTGAAAGCAGGAGAGGAAAAGGTGGTGAAATACCAACCAGTTGTCCCCCTGGCAGCCCAACTTTATGGAGTACCCAACGCCAGAATCCTACCAGTGGTGGTTGGAACCTCTGGGCTATGCCAAGATTTACAGTCAGTGCCCTCAAGACCCTGGGGAGCACGTCTCGAGGCGATCTACTGACTATCTCGTTAATTGCTCTCAGAAGCTCTATTAAACTTTACACACAATTTGTAAATTACGACGAAGCAATTTAGCATTGCTGGTTGTAAATGGAGAAAAAAGCTTGGGGAAGTCTAGGGAACCCATTGGATCCTAAAATGCCTAGGGATTACCAGTTACCACGACTCTAGGTGGGAAGTGTATGCTATTGAATGTAGGATATAGAAAATTGTGTAGTCAGAATCCATGTGTTGTGGGACTTCAATAACAGAAAATCGATTGACGGCAGAACGACTGTTCGTGTGGTCAGCGGTAGCTCCTAAACTGCTCAGGATATTTTGTCCAAAATTGATATTCCCCAATTGATCTACCTGATCCTTTACTTTAATTGAAATAATTCTTTAATATTGCCAATATGTATATTTTGGGGGTACTTTACTTGAAGCCCCCGAGGAAATTTAAAAAAAAACTAGCCTTAATTTTCTGCTAGCTTAAATTTTGTTTTTGGATACCGAAAAAGTTCTTTTAAACGTCCGTCCGTCTGTCTAACCGTCCATCTGTCTCTCTGTCTGTGAACAACACTAGCGCCTAAACTATGCGTAGGATTTTTTCCAAACTGAAAAAAACGGACGATTTGGCCGCATTAGAATCTCTGCAATTTTGAAAAACATTCTAATGAATGAAATCTCCGTGTCATACATATATACTTTGTAACGGTACGAGCTCTTGCGAATCAGATGTAGAATTTCTGTTAATAAGATCGCGGACGCCCCGCGATGCCTCAGCTGCATTGGAGGTCGTCGATACCTGACCCCTGTCCCTTCGGCTCTATTGAGGCGAGGGGTACTTAATGACCTTTATGACAGGACACCCCGCTCAGTTTGGAAGGAGCGAGGCAGCCGGTCCCCCCGCTGCCCTTTGTCGGCAGCCGGGTCCCGCCGTGCTCTCGAGAGGGTGCCTTTCCCCACCCACGTGACCGCTCGTCAAAGAGACCCGACGTCTATTACACCCTCTTGGGGAGATGGATATACGACCTAACGGGCTGCGCCGCACATGCGGGTTCGAAATAAGTCATACGGATTTTTTGCCAGCTGCCGCAAGAACCTCGCCCCCGACGGGAAACGAACATTTTTTGGCTGTTAGGAAGGATCCCGCGTCATTGGTCGAAGCTCTGCCCCGCCTCGCTCCGCTAAAATTTGATTCAGTGAAACGAAATGACCCATTTTTGTCATTTTTTAATATTTTTCGTCGATTTCTAGTATATGTATTTTTTTACCTTCTTTAGTCTTTTTTAATGAATTTTTGCCGATTTCATCGATTTAAATGGTACTTGTTTAAAACAATATTTACGAGGTGCAACATATGTTTACCACAGAATTCCTGAGAATATTCGATTTCTTCGCTCACATATTGTAATAGTCGTTGTGAGTATAATACTCTTTGGCGAGTAGTATGTAATCTAAGGAATCTGTAATGCCTATTGGAGCCATTGTCAGTTAGGCCTATTTTGCAATAAATAAAGGCAGTGATTTTCTATTAAGAACAGTCCAAACCAAAATATTGCAAGCCGAGCTCACTTGAACAATAGGAAGAAACGTCGATTACAACATACCCAACAGCTTGAATTGCTAATCTGAGAGTTCTGAGAAAACAATTTACGTCATTTTTCATTGTTTTTAAGGCATATTAAAAGCATCGTTTTGCAGATTAAAAGCAAACATTTGGCAAAGTTTTAGGTCATCAAAATCCGCTCCCTAGTCATTATCAAGTCATTGACGCGCTGAGCATTGCGTTGGCGTGCAGTTGCTGGATGCTCAGAGCTTTTGCATTTTTCAACACAGCTCCTACCGTCTTTGAACACTGATACCCAACTAAATCTAGATCTGCAACTTTGTAATGACTCCACACATATGGATACGACCATCTAGGCCATCTATCGCTGATAGGTTCCATCGATTGACCTTCAGTCGTTTTTGCGGCGGAGGAAATATATTCATTGCGTTTAAGTTAAGAAAACGAAAAGACGATAAAACGATACTTCAACCATTTTCAATATCGAAACACAGTACAGTAAAATGATGCAAAACGGACGGTGCAAAAAGGTTTTAGACCGCAATTATAAACATTTTAATATTTATGTCGCGACATATGATGATAGTGGTGCTCACGCATATTGGCAAATAGTTCAGATGATGACGAGGGGATTGATATGGAGGTGAAGTGATGGCGGCGACGACTACGAACATGGCGATAATAATGACAAAGTGGTGTAAGATGACTACATATATTCCATGGCAGTAAAAAATATTCAAAGTAGTTATGAGTGGATAGATGTAGTGGGAGAGCAAGAAGACGACGACAATGATGACGGCAAATACGTGAAACGACGGTGAAGATTCGTGAAAGGGAGCCAGTTGCGACGTTTTAAGTAAAAAATCTCTTAATATATTCATCAAAAACGAATATTTTAATCAGAAAACATGAGATTGATACAAAATATGATGCAGCTCAACTAAAGTAAATGTACCAGGAAAAGTCAATACGATTTAAAGAAAAATAAGGAGCTAATAATTGCCATTGGCATCGACAAGAATACGATCACGTAGGTTGAAAATACCCTGGTTTTAGTGCCAGAAGATGAAAACAAAACGAATAATCTGCATCAAAGTTGCAACAGAAAATGCATATTCTTTACACATATTATCCTAAATATTAACAGACGTTCACTGATAAATATCGTGCTAGTGTAAAGAAATTCAGGTCATCACACGATTTGGAGAAAATATTCCAAAAAGAAAAATATCATATGGGCAACTTCAAAACATTTGTATCAAATAATTTTCGTCCAAAAAATTTTCTCGAAGGGAATTTTAATGTGAAATATCTCTATTTTTTATTTTATCATAAATATTATACGCAGAAAATGACAATGTAAAGTTGACATCAATAATTAGACAGATAAAAGAGTTGAATGTGTCCCCAATGTGGTAGGGAGAGGAAATGTACATTGAAAGAGAGGAATAGAAGGAAAGGGAAAATATATAGAATATGAAATTAAGGTCATATGAAAATGGGATAGAAAAAGTGAAGAGAAAGAACGAAGGAGAGAGAAAAGAAGGAAAGAGATGGGGAAATGAAAAAGAGAAATAGAAAAGAGGCAAGAAGAAAACAAGAAAAGGAAAGGGGGAAAGGAAAGCGGGAAAAGAAAAAGGAAAAGAGAAAAAGAAAGGGAAAGAGAAAAAGAAAGGGAAAGAGAAAAAGAGGTAGAGAAAAGAGGAGGAGAAAAGGTGTACGATAAGAGGGAACAAGAAAAAGATCAAGAAAAGGGGAGCGAGACTAGAGGGAAAAATAAAAGAGAGCAAAGAAATACTAAACAAAAAACGAGAGAGACGCGCGCGAAAGAAACAAGAGAAAAAACGATTTATGTTGTAATTTGGAAATGCAGCCAATTTATCCAAACTCTAGTCCCCACTAACCTTGCACAAGTAGGAGAGCAGGGACAAGACGCAGTGGAAGCCAGTGTATTCCGCGTCCGGCTGGTCGACTGGCCGGAACTCCATGCGCGAGCACAGCTCTGCCAGCAGCGCCAGGTCCAAGATTATGGGCGCCGCCAGAAGGGAGTCCTCGCACGTGTTGTGAATCACGAGCGTATTGTGACCCCCCATGAGGATCTCGGAAGTGTACTCGTCCATGGCTCGTTTGCTATCACCCACATACGGTACATATTTTATGACCACACAGTGGTCAGGTTTTTCTCCAGGAGCATAGAGTAAGGGGTTAGAAGCCACCATATCATCGACTACATTGCTCTTCGAAATCTGCAAAAGCGTTTAGAAATCAGAATAAGGGGAATTAATCACAGAACAGACTGAACATTCACATACATTACAAAGGTTCCAAAAATATATAAATAATAATATGAATATATTGATTTTCAATTAATTATTTTAATAATTATTATCAATTTATTATTATAAATTTTCAATTTTATATTCAATTTTGATAAAATCTAATACTACGAGTGCTTTGGAAATTGATGATAAATTCGCGACTCGCGAAACGAGAAGAGAATTTATCTGAGAAATTCCAAAACACAAGTGGTGTTTAATTGGACTATTTCGTAAGTAAAATGATATCCAACAGAGATCCAAAATGTGCCAGAGGTTCATTCACTTTTTACTGGACATCGACGTAGCGATCGATGTATACCGCCTCCCAAGACAGATGAGTCACAGTTTATTATCGGCTAGTAAGAAGAAGCGGTAAGAAAAATAGGATAGAAAAAGCAATACACTTTTTGAGACACACCGCCCTGCTTGGGGCATTTTGTATGTATAGTTAAACACAGTACACACGTATGTATTGATTTTCAACGAATATTTAAGTTCCATCACTTGTCCACAATAGTTGTGATTTCTCTGGGTTTAAGAAAGGGGTGAAATAGAATAGTCACACTTCATCTGCTCTATTTGCGCTTTAAAAGTATTACGGAGGGACACACCATGCACCAAACATCCGCAACGATCTTATCCCGTTCTCACTTGACGTTTCACATGAACGGAATGGGGTGAATTTGCACATCACTTTGTAAAACGATGTGATGAACATGAGTAACATCCACGTGAGCCGTGTTAAATGAAGTGTTAAACGCGTTTAGCACATCGTGTATGTTCCAAGAGTTAATAAAGGAATGTAGTTTTAAACTTAGACGTATAGATAACGTGTGACGATAAAGTCTTGTGAATTGAATGAATGCCTTATTTTACGTGGCAAGACTCAGGCCATAAGGCCTAATCTTCCGTCTGACCACGCAAAATTCGTTACGCTCCTTTCACCAACTAGCAGAGAAAGGAGGAATTTCTTGGGCGAGAAACAGGCGATTCGAATTTAGCTCAGAGGCGTCATTTAGGCTTGAGGATCTTTTACATGCAAGTAAATCTACAAACATGGGACAGCCGGCTTTTTTACTTCCCCTCCGAAGGAAGCCGTACGAAGGATTTTTTCGCCCTCAAAAATCCACGGCTTCGATCGGGTTGGCTACAACAGTCCAATACGCTAACCGTTACACCATCGCCGCCGATGGTATCGTGGTCACTTGTCCACGATATTTTTATACTTTTCTCACGATCACGTTACTCTGTAATATAAGGTGAAGTCACCTGAATACACCCTTTATAGTGGTGGAGTCTCGGGTTCCGATTTAACCCATATCATTACGTACATTCGCGCACTTCCAAAAATGGGGTCATATAGTACATTATTCACAGATTCTAGGACAAGTACATACATGGGGTCTAAACTGATCACTTTTTGCCAATGAACCTATAGTGGGAAATTGAATATAACGAAGATATTTGGATTTATACATGCGACATTGTCCTTGATTTTTAGGCGACCCTGGCTTCAGATTGTGGCGTCATATCTGTCACCAGTACAAACGTACCAAATATCAACCAGATGGACAGCGCTGGCGGAAGAGACGCTGGGCTGCACAAAGGCTAGGGAGCGGAAGGGAAGGGGTGCCATGTCTTGGGTGGCAAACGTGGAAACCCCGGAGGCGGCGGAAACGCGTCGGTGGACACAGCAGGTGACGCAGTTCCGTCAGCTTGCCCAGAAGCTATACAAACGGACCCCGACCTTAGAGCTTCCTTCTGATTCTTGGGCGCGTCGGTAGGGCGTCGAGTGGGTTGTGCGCGGCGCTGCATTTTAATGCATAGGCTATCGACGCGGGGAACCGAAGTCGGCGTGCTACGTCGAAACGGGAGGTGCGGCATACTCCCTCATTCTCTTCTCAGCAGTCGGAAGGTTCGGACGCGTCCCTCTCTACTCCGTCAGGCGACCCTTCACCGCCTTTCACCGCACGTGCGGTAGGAGCTTGTGGCCCCGGTGGAGCTAGCTCAGCTCCCGCGGCGCCAACTGGAGACCGGGCGGTTCACGCTCGCACAACTAGCTATCCGGAAGCAACATGTCGTGTTCCCCGCAAACGCAAGATACCATTACCCCGTAGAGGAGCATCTGCTCCGCGTGGCGCGTGACGGCGAAGAGTCTGGAGCAAAACCAAGTGGGGCACCACTCACGGCTGCTGCCTCAGCCGCGGGTGCCCGAATACGCTGCAGCGAGGGTGCCCCACGACGGCTTTTGGGCCTTCGCCCGATCGAGCGAAGCGGACTCTCCCATGTTCTGGAGATTCGCAAGCTCCACCAACACCACTCCCATCGGTTCGGGAAAGGGCTCAGAAATCGATAAAAGCGCGCACTCCGACCCCGCCCCCACACAACGCAGAAGCGCAAACGGGCCCCGCCACCCCACCAGAGAACATCGCCGGGTAGACCCCTTACCCTGCGACAGCTCACGAGACCCGCCCCTCCCACTCAGCCAAATGACTGCCGCACCGGCGACCGGCTCGCCCCTCGCACGCTCCCTCCGGGAAAGCGACTGCCACAAGGACTGCCCCCCTTCCAGTGCCGACATGACGCCCGACACTGGCACGTCGCTGAGAACGGCCACAATCCCTCTGAAAACCCCTCTCCTTCGGAGGGGGAAAAAGAGGAAAAAAGAGAAGATTTGAGCCTCGCCGCCCAGACCCCAAGGCAGCGCCCGCAACGTTTCAACCACCGCCGGCGGCTGAGGTGGCAGACGGCGAGCTCCGACAGGAGAGGTAAGGTGCCAACGGACTCCGAAGCACGTCGGTCTCCATCCTCTCCAGATAAAATCCACTCGGCGAAAAAATAGCCGCCTTGAAGTCCGAACTCGTGCGCCAGAGCGCCACCCGCAATGTGAATGGCAGGCAGGCGCCTCCCGCAGCCCCGGACCGACGCGAACCTGAAACTGCGGTCGCCTCACGACCGCCGAGACGACCCTACCGCTTCCGACTGCAAAATTAACACGCAGATGCAGTCAAGAAGCACCGCGAAAGCGATAGGAGACGCCACTGGTAAGTTGGCCACAATCGGTCGGTTACTACCAGAAATGGCCGAGTTGGCTCCAGGTGTCAACCTCTCCCCAATCGCATATTCGTGGAGCGAAACTTACGCGAAGCTTCACCAAAATTATCTTATTTGAGTCACCCACCCCCACTTATCCTAGAGTGCGCAAACACATCCGTGTACATTAAACAGGTTCTGCGCGCATCACTGCTGACGAAGGTGCGGCGAGGAGCTTGAAGCGCAGGCCTCACTGTTTGGGCTTCATCAACTGGTCGCCGCGAACTCTCCGAACCCCGCGCGGAACTTCGGAGACTGCTGATGCCGAGCTGTGACCCACCAAAAACGGCATCCTATAAAAAAGACAAAGATGCCACGCCGTTGCACGCTCATCCGAGCATTGAAAAGAATCTGTCGAAAGAGCGCCCCACAAGCCTCGACGCCCCTTCGGGCGAGGCTCTCTCGGCAGAGTACTGCGCGAGGCGATCTACATCAGAGTAGCGGGCCCCAGCCCACCTCAGGCCCCCCTGCCGCCGCAAAAGAGACGCGCGTCTTGCCGCTCTCGCGACTCAATTAGGTTCTCTCCGAAGAGGTTCAAAACGGCGGAGATTGTGTTGCGCTCCCTGTCCGACCGACATCCCCAGCTCGAAGTAACGACCTCACCTACACCCTTGCTTCTCTAGAGGCAGTTGCGGATCAGTTTGGACGGTTGCGCCGACTGACAATCACGTCCGTCTACTGCCCAAATCATCAACTAGACACAGCCTTATCATGCGATTACTCCGCGTTTAGATTACTATAAGTTCTCATCTAGGGATCTTAATCAAGAACAGACAGTGGGGCTGCCTCGGTGAACCAAACGGCACCGTTAGCCAACTACATAGCGACGAGACTGGCTATACGTATGCGCGCCCGAAAAGAACCCACGATTATACCCGATCGACTGTAAATCCGGGAAATTATCGACCTTGACGATCGCGAAAGGAATTGACTGCGGAGCCCCGCTTTCGATTCTCCTATCTGGTTCCGCATCACACCGGTAACATTCGTGGGTTTCCGTCTGTCGCCGCAGCACGCCGAAACAAATTCAAAATATCACACGACCAACTGGCCGGATTCACGCTCATAGAAAGCACCTCTTGAGCGAAAACCGCCAAAAAATCACGGATGAAATCGATTAGCGCGGTGACTCACATCACTTCCGCGATTCGAACGTCCTACAAATCAAATACCAAAATTACACGCAAACCGGAGTCAACGTCCTGAGCTAACAGCATAGCAGAGAAGACGACTGCGGACTGCGCAGATATTCTAAGCTGCACAGCTGCTACGGCGATCCCGCGGACGGAGCGCCAGAGGGGCAGCGACTCTCAGCAGAGGAGAATCCGTAAATCTCACAAGACGCAGAAGAACCGAAAAAATGGTCGCGCACGATCGAAGATTGCAAATCTTCGTGAAAGAAATCCTGCAACCTTTGGGGATTATCTAAGGCGCTGGGTCGCAACGGGAGTAAAACCGCCCGCTCCGCACCACTCCGAACACCACAGCCGCCCGGTCACACCGCGATGCAGCCGAATACCTGGCGGAGGACGCCGCGAAGCGAAACTCTTTCGCGGAGACGCTTGAACGGCAGTTCGCCCATTCGAGTCTGCGACTTCGGGGGACCAGTGCACTGTTGCACGCTTACGCGACTACCTGATCGCCAGCGAGCACTCTGCGCGACGTGTGACCGAAGAGCTCCGCCCGAAACGCTGCGACAACTCAATACGCGCCAAGGGCATGCTCCGACGAAATAACAGCCGCCCAGCTCCCGCGCTCGGCCCCGACGGTTGGAGTTCCTGCGGAACTCATTAAATGCGTCCTAGCGCTAGATACTTCCCAGAGCGTGGAAATCGCGACAGTATCCATATACCAAAAAGCCTAACAAAACACAACTTCTGGCGAAGCGGTTAGAACCAATTAGTCTAACTCTCGCGTTCTTGCAAAAGCCTTTTCGAGCGCCTGATCCTGGAGCGCTTGCAAACAGAAATACGGCGTCTTAAGCTTCTTAGAGATGAGCAATTCGGATTTCGAATTCGGCTAAGTTGCCGCGCAACAATGACTCGGCCCTATGTACCGAGATCGTCTCTCTCTCGAAAGACGGCAGAAACTTGCCATGGTTTTCTAGACATGCGGTCGGCATTCAGATTCTGTATGCACGATGGGTGCTCGCGGTCTTCGACATTGATCAGCGACTGCTACGTCAGACTAATCCCAGCTTTCTTGACAGATGAGACCGATTCAAGGTTTCGCCTCAATGCTACATTCGGTCCCCAAGCGAGCCGCAGCCGGGACATACGAAACGTGCCTCAGGAAGCTGCTCTCACCAACAATAATTCGGCCTAAACCGTCACGACCGCGCTTCCTGTTGAAAAAAATACCGGCATTCAACATTGCGCCCAGGCTGACTAATGTTCCGTATGATTCGCTTACTAGGCGAAATCGTGCGGACAAAAGGAAATCGGTAGATATCTAATGATTGTCTCGCCGACTTCTCAAATGGCTAAGCCTTGGCATGGAAGCTTGACACGGCCTCGCGGGCACGCCCACGCCAAGTACATTAGCAAAAAATTAACCTGCCCGAAACCACACTCCTACCCACCTTCTTCGAGCCCCCCGAAACTTCAATCCTGCCTCAAACGCGCCATTTCACCGTCTGCTGTGGTCCATTTTGACATATTTGCCTGCGAGTTATTCGCGCGGCACTCCTCCCATCCTCCGCCGGAGTTTTCGGCGCGGCGGGGAATAAAAAATCCTTCTCCTTTTTTTCTTTGGGGGTTTGGA